TTTCAAGGATATTTTAGTCGTTCAACATTTAGCCTAAATTATTCGTATTTTTATAAAAATATAAATATAAATAGATAGATACAAGATAAATATAGATATAGATATGCTTTCTTATCGTTAAAAAAAATGATTTGCCACAGCTACAATTTTAGGTGGAGGACAGTAACATTATTAATAAGTACTTCATTATCGGTCTGCTCTCAACTTATAATTCGATTACTTTGATTTTCTACTTACAAAAGTAAGATCATGAGCACAATATTTGTAATCTTACGTTGATAGACATATTAATCAAAAAGAATTCTGGTAGACATTGTTCGTATTTTGATCGAAGTGATGCTATCAATATTGTATATATTGAATTCCTTTTCTTTATTACTATATTTTAGAAATGAGAGTTGATGGGACGAACATGTGCTAGATGTTATTGTACAAGAAGCCTTAAAAGTTGTATTCTTGGATTGGTTTCTATATATACATGTGTACCTTTACCAAGACGTGTTATTGTACAAGAAGCCTCTCACACTCCAAGACGTGTACTGCTTCTACAAACACGTGTAACCCTTACCTCTCCCACTGAACTAAATGGTTAATACCTAATTCCATCTCCTCATTCTCTCGCTTCTCTCCCTTCCTCTCTTACTTACACTTCTCTGTTACTAACTAATAAATAAAAGGTCACTTAGGCACAGGCTATGGAGGCCTAATTCCAAATAATAATAGAGAAATGTCACTAAGACGATAGATTGTGCATTAGGATTTAGGAGTACAAACATGAGGTAACCACGATGTTACAGTCTTATGCATTTACATTTTGATTCCTGTTTTTAGTGGCATTTGTAAATTTTGCTTAGTTTTATCTGTTATATCTCGACGGACATCTAAACCTGCGATTCTATCCTTTTTAGATAATATTGATCTACAATTATCATTCTGCCTCTGAAATTCTCCTTGTATTTTTGCTTTATTTTGTTGTCAGTTAGTCGTATATAATTTTTATTATTTGGTTCTTTCATATATGGACATTGCTCTTTCTTTATGTTCTCTTAGTGGATTTTGTACATGCATGTGGTTGATTGTTTAAATGCTTCTATAAAAGTACAGTGAATTTACCATCAGAAAGAAAAAATCGTACTGAAAAGGGAAGAACTTAGATGCAGCAAAGATGTTTGACGATATGCCTCAACTATTGTAATTTTTTAATTTCATTTCTTTTTACTTGTAGGTAATCTATAAGGCAGAGATCTATCATCTGGCAGCACCAAAGGTATATTACTTATTCCTATTGGATAGGAATACTGAGCAATAATGTGCATTATATTTATTTGAAATGCATTTAATTTTCCTATATGTTTATTGCAGTATTACTACTGTTTGTCTAAATAAACAGGGAAAATCAGATACAATCCAAACTGGCATGGAGTTCTTTTTTTGATCCATTTTTCTATTCGGTATGTAATGATGATTGAATTATCTAGCTCAACAATAATTACACTTTTGATCGTGTTTAAAAACTTCTCAAAGGGTTGCATTATAGCTAAGATACCTTTTCGGTTGTATTTTTCTGTTACAATAATTAATTTATTGCGTAATTTCCTTGGTTGCGCACATGAATGTGTGATTATGTGGAAGAAGTGTGCTATGGTTTCACGAATCGACATTTCAAGATTGCCCTAGAATTAGTTCTTTTAAGCATTTTTTATAATATTTTCTTTTAAGCAGTTTTCTCTAAGGATTTCTTTTAAGCATTTTTTGTTTGGTTGGTTACTGATTCTCATTAGATACTGAGTTGTTTCCTTGTGACTAAGTGTTACTATTTACCTATTACGGAAGTGAGAACTTGACAATTAGGTGGAATTTATTTTCCTATCTTGGAATTGCCCGACCTTTCTCTATAATCCAAGTAACTCTTCTCTATGTTCCATATTTAAGCTTTTACATCCATATATTTTCATTATTTATGTAATTTTTAATGGTACATGACTTTATTCTACCTTCTTCTCTGATGAATTTCAGTGAGCTTCATTCGCCACTTTGACACTTTAATGAGTGAACTGGAAAGACATTGCAGTTGTAGGTGAGCGTCAATGCATGACTTTTCTTTCTTCGTCTTATTTCCTTTCCTCTTTCTTATTCTGTCTGAATTATCTAAGTAAAATTGAGAATTCAATAAAGGATTGAGGAATTTTTAAGTAAACAGAATGAAACTAAAAATGATGTGAAGGAAGGATAAACAGAATATGGAGGGAGGAGTACATTATAGATTTCTGGTTAGCTTTAGTTCGATGAGTAGCATTGAGAATTAGCACCCTTCTGCCAGGTGAAAGCCAGTTAGAGCTGCATGATCTTTTCGTTGCATTCGGTGATATAGCCGCATATTCTTTTTAATGCTAAATGACATTCCACTATGATTTGGTGCATCAAATTGTATAAGGTAAAATTGGAGGTTAAATGGTAAAGATAGAAAATGGAGAAGAGTATAAACTGCACAAGAGACAGGAGTTAGGAAAGTATAAACTCCACTCAGTTCACAATCTTGCACATGATCCAAAACCTAAAAAAATAGAAGCAGGAGTTAGGAAAGTTGATGCAAGATCAAAAGACATTCACAAGCTCTCCTCGAGAACTAGCGAGCGAAGTGCAAATGCTCAAAACGACCGGCCGGGTCGTTACATCCTCCTTCACTTAAACATACGTTCGTCCTCGAACGTGCCCAGAGTTGTTCTCAAAGCCATCAAACCATAGTGTAACCTTACCATGCACATACCTGGGGGTGATCCTATGTCACCCTATCCCATATAGGTCTGATAACATAACATAACTGAAATTTCTTAATTCAACCTAGCCCATAAGCCTTAGAATTCAATTTCCAATATCCGGAATTTACTATAAGATTAGAATCTCGCATCTACACACTGTTTGAGTCTGAACAAGTTGTATCAAGCCTTATCCATAACCCAAGATGTAATCACATGATATACAGCAAAACTCAAATACGCATAGAGATAATTTTCAATCATAGTTCTGCTCAAAACAACTCCATGCCGGTAATAAACCTTTTATCAAACAAAACCTCGGTCTAACACCTTCATATACTGCCAATGATAAAAGAAACACGCAGAAACTCATAGCCATTCATCAGATCAACCTGATATGGAATCTCTGCCTCCTTCGACAAGAACTATAGCAAATTTTCTAAGCCGACTTTCGATATTATCCTTCCAACATGTTGTAATCAATTTCGATAGTATTCATTCTAGGTCCAATGACCTCATCTCATCCAACCACTGGTCCATGGCATATGCCTCAAGCCACCTTGATCAAAATCAACAACATGCGTGATTCGACATCAAGTTCCCAAAGTGAATTACTATAACCACGGAGAAGCAAATGACGCAAATGCCACACAAGACTGAAAGAACATAACCAATGTCCAATCAATCATGCAACAACCAAATACTCATCTCGCTCAAATTTCGCTATAAAGCCCAAATGGAACCATACCGTGTGTGCATATAACCAACGAATCACAACCCCTCACAACATGGAAGAGTAGCACATAGAATATATCCGATACGAATAAAATCAACTCTAACCGAATGGCACATCCCTCAACAATAGCAATATGGAGCCAACCAATCTGGCTCTGTATAGAATACACATCCAAATTGGGCCTACTAATGGACCCCCAAATCAGCTCTAGTCACCCACAAATAGATGAATAACCCTTCGAAAGTTCACAATGACTGAATCATAACACATACTATCATCTGACTAGCTTTGCCCACATCTTCACAGTCCACAACCACGAAATAACCTATTTATGAGAACTCCCAGTCTCCAAATCCATAGAGCACATGAATCACCATATCTGATCCCAACTCCACCGCCCGAATATCTAACACATCTCTCATATAGGATCATCCTGCGAGGAATACTTCTAGAATTCTTCCGTGCCACATAGCAAAATCTAAATATCAGCAGTCGATCAACTAGGAGGATGTCTTAATACCAATGAAGTATCCATAAATCAAAGCACATCGCCTCTTCTGAAATGTGCACTATCATCAAACCATACCAAATAGTAATATCAATTACCTAATCATCTAAAACCGTCCATGTTGCCTAAGAATTTTATGATCTTCTCTTCAAAACTGAGTTGTGACCTTGCTCATGCAAATCTCCATCCCACACAATACACCATATATACCATGCCATCATATGAAAAATACGAGAACTTCATAATCCACTCCGGGTATAAGCAACTACATACTCAATTATCCAAGGACCTTCCATTTGATTTCATCCAGGAGAAAATCACTATACATCACATGCTCCTTACGCCTGTCGCGCCCCGTTTGTTCCTCCGCAGAGAAAGTCCGAGTTCCGACATTCATGGGGGTAAAAAACTCATTTTCTTTTGGGATTTGAGTATTTGAAGAGTCGCCACCTAACGGATTATGGTGCGTTAGGGCACCCAGAGCGATTAACTCTTGGATTGGTTTGCATTACCAGAGATTTAGGGTAAGGGCTCGAAATAACCTAGAGGGGAAGGTGTTAGGCACCTCTCTTGATCCACAACAGTGGGTCTCGGCCGAATTTATACTTATGAATTAGTCCTTTAACAAACAAGAAGTTGAAACACATAGTTTGTAAATAAAAGCATGTTGGACATTGTTTGACACAAATAACAATAAGATAAGGAATTTCAACGAGTTGCATACAAAAGAGTAAAGTTTAAACATTGGGAATTGGAAAAGGAGTCCTAGGTTGGTTAGCCTACAGGATCACCCCACACAATGCCCGGTAAACACTCCTCAATGAGGGGCTACACGTGACATTAGCGCATAGTCATCATATCTTTTCTACCCAATTCCCTCCCGTTGGTCATAGCCTAAAGTGTTCTAGTAACCTTGACAATGTCCTACGCGTGCACTACCCATCCCTTCCTTGTGGCCTTGGAGGTATTTTAGGACCTCTATTCTTTGGACAGTTCTAGACTTTCCTAAGGTTTTAAAGGATAAAATCTAGGCGTCAATCAAGAACAGTTAGGACTTCATATAAAAAAGAATAAGTTATAGGCTGACAGTTACCTCCTCAAACTTAGCAAGTAAGTGTACGTCTTCAAACAACATTTCAATGCTTAAGAGAAAATCCTAGAAGAAGATATCTAGGTGAGCAGGGGTTATACAACCTTGAATTAGGACAAAGTATCAAAATCCTATTTAACTTGCCTAGTGGTTTAAACCTGTTAAATCTGGATAGCTTAAGTAGCAAAACACAGTTTCAGAGTTGCAGAATTTAAAATCACCTTATAGGCTTGCCTAAACGCAGAACAGTGATGTCCTAAGAGCAAGGTATCTATGTGGGTGCAGTAAATCAATGAACAATGTTAAACGGACATTTGAGATCCTATAGGCATGCTTTCTAGCAGTAATGAGTTAAGGCATTGTTTTAAAAAACTCAATTAATGAAGTTGATAGTTGCTTAAGCCAATTTCAAAGTGAACTAACATGAATTAGACTGACTTGTGTAACTAAATTGATTTTAATTCTATAGGCAGAATTTCTGATTTTAATTCCTATAAGCATGATATCTAATTGTTAAGAGTTGATGTTGGAACTTATAGGCATGATTTTAGTGAGACAAATGTAAACACATGCAGTAGCAGGAATTGAACTCAATCAATTTACACTCTATATAGCCATGGTATCTAATTATGAAGTTGATTTTTAACCTATAGACATGGTTTCTATTATTGAATCCATTTAAACCCTATAGACATAATTTCTAATATGGGAACCTTTTAAACCCTATAGGCATGGTTTCTAGTGTGGTAAAGCAAACATAGCAAGTATATTAATATATAATTCTATAAACATGGTATCTTCCTGAATTACCCCACAGATATGTAACTACCCACCCCTTTTCACTAATCACCTCCAATGTTGTTTACAAATAATTATTACAGACCAGCTGAACAAATTACATAAACAAATAAAGAAGAAAAAAGAAGAAGTTAATTATAGGGAGCCTGAAGTAGGCCCAAATGACTTCTCAAGCCTCCAATAGCCTCAAGTGCCACAGTACCATAGACAATATCTTGTCCAGGTGTGTCAAAGTTCCCTAAGGACCTCAAGGATCCCGGGCAGTGCTCACACCTAGACCCTTTTTCAAAAATAACTGATTTAAGTGTAGTATGGAAGGGCCAGCTCTGACATGCTAGAGTTCAGAGAAATCTCATGGATCTCAAGGGAGTACACATGCTAGAGGGGCATGATCTAAATATTCTAGGAGTAATGGAGAGTGCTTGACACAGAAAAAGTTTAGTAGACAGAGAAAGAAGGTCTTAGTAATAGAAAGAACTTTTAGGAAAGACATAATAGAGTTTTAAGAGTAGGAATAGTTTAAGAAGACATTTAAACAGTCAGAAATCAGGTTAGAGAACATACAGCTTCAGAACAAATCTCACACAAGGGATAGAGGTAGGGGAACACCTAGCATACACCTTAGTGATGTCAATCAAGTATAGAGATGGTAGTTACAAAGTTAAGTTGGGAACACATAGGTTTAAGACACAAGCAGAATTACATTAGAACAAACTGTAC